GTGACCACCATGATTCACCGATTTTTAGGCGAGGCCACGTGATGATCCGACACGGTCATACAAATCAAGATACCACCTGCACCAACGTTTAACGCATCAATTGTTGTTTTAGCTCCCCGGTAAGTTGAACAATCTTCACATTCAAAATATCAATTAGATATGCGACGTTCCATGAGGACAAGAGTCAGCAAGTGAGAAAGTGTTATTCTGCCTGCTGCATAGATCCAGGCGTCAAGGGAACCAGCACTGCAGGTCACCACCTCGCTCCTCTCTCGGCTTCTTCCCTCGCAATGGTCCACTCTGGAATTTCCTCCTTCCATCATCATCTCATTCCCCAAGCTTTATCAATCATAACCTTGCTCAATTAAATGTGATAATTTTCCTTTTGCAATTTTGACGGTCCCGTTGGTTGACAGTGCTGTTTGTTGCTGGCTGCATGGTGTTTTGCGCCTGCGCTCAGCAACTCTGCAAGTGTCTAACAGCGGATTCTGGACGAGCGCACCAAATGAGTGTCCCCACGCTCGCACGGCTAGACACGTCCATATCTATCCCGGCAGGATCCGGCTCGTATTTTAAACAATCTACAGATGCACGCCACGTTCTTCACATCGCTACAAATCATGACTCTTTGCCGTAGCCCAATACAGCGCTCTCCGTACAACTCACGACGCTTTCAAATTTAAAACAAGACTCGAAGAACATCGGCCAATCAATCCAAATCAAAACAAATACCGTGTCACGTTTGGTAAAACAGATTTGGTCGTTGGGCATTTGGTTGCGGAAGGAATTGGGAACGGCGGTGGCGAGCGATTGCCCGCGATGCTCCCGCTAACGCGGTAGGGGCGCCGGGCGCCATTGTCGCGTCTCCAGGATTAGGTCGCGGCTGAAGGTTCGGGGCCTCCAGCGGTGTCCTCTACGCCCGCTGTGCGCCGCTGCCATATCGCCCGTCAAGGTTGCCGCGGGCTAAGCCCGGCACGCTAAGACCACGGAGCTGCGTTTTAAGAGGCTTTGAGGATTTATTCTTCTCCAGAAGCTCTGCGTAAAAGTCACGCTCGCGAGCATCCGCATGAGCCTGGCTTTTCTTTTGATTTTCAAGCAAACCCAGGGCGATTATTTCAAATTTCGCTGCGGTTGTTTACAGCCACCAGAAATAGCGGGCCCCATGTCTCTCTTAATTAAATCTGACGTGGTAGCCCTCGCACAAGACCGACCACCGGTAAATGTGTTATTGAGACACCCACCACTCAGATAGGGTAGTCAATGCTAGGCATGTAACCAGGCCTTAATTTCTCAATGAATAGTTTCCGGTTCATTGTTGATGGACTGGAGTAGGTGATACGTGCCTAGCAGGCAAGACGAGGTATACTGGATGCGGTTTGAGTGGCGTGCAAATAATGGGCAGACCCGGCTGAAATTAAGCCCTATGCGTAGCCATTTAGTCCTCACAATTGCGCGTCACAACGCTCATAAATAATTAATATTGCGCTCACTGTGCCATCGCACCAAGACTGTCCTGATCAATCCAACCATTAATCTAACATTTTTTGGCACAAATCTAAAATCCGACAGCACCTCTTAACCAATCGCACGCCCGCCCCTCCCCCCACGTACTCGTGCGCCTCTTGGTGACGAGCACGACGCCCTTGCCGCTGGGGTTCGCCTCCACCCCCACCGTCTTCTTGTGGATGAGTCCATTGTAGCGGAACGAGTTGCGAGCCTTCAGGTTGTTGGGCTCCTGGGTACAAAAGCCGTGGTGGAGATGCAAGATGTATAAGGTTTAACGACGCAACACGGGAAAACAGCGCTCAACACAAAGGTACACACGGACTAAATTGCCTACACCACGCTGATCGTAGGTGTGCTAAATGTATCACGTGCACTACCTATTGACCGGTCTGAGACCATCAACTTAATATGCATTTGACAACTTGGGAGTTCAATCCACTGGCGGTGCTATCACCTCTGACGTACCCGGCAGCAAAATGATTGAGAAGCGTTCGCTGCTTCTGCGTACAAATCGGCGAGTTTCTGCACACGCAGTTTCATCTGCAGTCAAATCCCCCAACCAAGGGGAGGCTGCTCCCTTAACGGCCTGGCTCGCCAGCGGTATCCTTGGGGTTTGTGACAGTGCTGGAGGAGAGGTGTGGAGGTGCCACTCACGGTGCTAAAGGTCTGCTTGTTGCGCTTGATGAGGAAGCTCGAGTTGTTGCGGATGATCATCCACTGCAGGTGTGCAGACATGGTGGCGCCGATCTGCACACGACCACGCGCAGGGCCGTGAGCACGCGCAGGCGACTCGCCGGCACCGCAGCCGAGCCGCACAGAACGAGGCGTCCCCCCCCACCCCTAGCCCACGAGCGAGTCTTCCTCAACGCGTCAGACCTCGGAAGCTCAGCATGCTCGAGCCTGGCTCGTGCCTTGATGGAGGACTACCTGGGAATGCCACGCGTTGTAAGCTTCGGCTGCAAGTTGGCCAGTGACACTAGGCACACAATTTCGCTTTTGTATCTTACTGCCCAGATAATATCAACGTGTTCTATTCGCCATATTTAATTATAAACGGTCCGAATCTAAAATTGTACATTAAAATTGTTTATTAAACTTAAAGGGTGAATTAAAATCATAACGATTTGTCAGAGAATAAATTCACATCTTGTCCAACTGCCTCAATTAAATATTCAATCAACGTGGCCTAAATGTTACATATCTTGTTTTGGATGATTTCGTTTTGATCCTGTCACGATTGTGATTCGTCTCCCTTAAGAAAAGTGCTCCCACGTGTTTTTTTTGTAAACCAAGGGTGCCTGTCCGTATGAATAGACGAGCACACCGACTGGGGCATGGACACTGGCACACACCACGGCTCCACGGTACAGGCCGGCAACACGTGTCCCCACACAGCAGCAAACTACAGCAACAAAGGCGCACACACACGCGTACACACACACCAGCTCCTCTACACTGGCCCCGACAACACACCAACGGGAACTCATTGCCGCAACACAAACGATTCACGACACACTGCTGTACAGTGGACACTGATATGTCTCTACACGTTCTAATCACTCACAGAAACACAAACGCAAGCCAACATTAGGGAAGTAAACTCATAAATGCCCTCACAAAGACCCCGTTTTATATATAAATCCTTTATGAATGCCGCCAAGACGATAATGCTCACACCAACGCTCCCTAAACACACTCAACGCCCTCCTCCAATTCCCACTTCAAACTGCCCCCTCCATATACAATCACCAATGCTCCATGTTCCCTATACATTCTGCCCACATTACTAACGCAACCCAATGTCCACAGTAATGCCCCCTAGACACCAATGCCCCCCCATACACTTACCGATGACCCCCCCCCCCCCAACAAAACAAATACAATTGTATTTTCTACCTACGTGACTTCACCGAAATAACCAAAGAGTAAGGATTCATGCAGTCACGAAACGCACAACACACCACATCACTGCACTCAGTGCCCCCCACACGCACAGCACGGAAACAGCAAGGCCTCCAAACCCCCCATACACAAACTCATGCCCCTCCCGCCCCCTACACACCACAATACCCCCTACACACCGCAATGCCCCCCACATCATGCCCATGCCCCCTACATCATGCCCAAGCCCCCGCAACGCCCCCACACTCTCGCGAATTCCCCATCCACCGCCACCGCCACGAGGTGCCGCCATCTCGGCCCGGGGCCTGCAGGCCTCGGGCCGCGCTGCCGCACCGCGAGCTCCCCCATCGCCAGGGACTGCCGAGGGGACCGCCACACAACCAAGGGGGGCCAAGGGGGACCAGGCGTAGCAGGGGTACAGCGGAGCGAGGGGGTTCAGGGGATAAATTTCGGGGTCCCGGGAACAGCCGCGACACGAACCTCACACCGCCTCGTCCTGGAGAGAGAAAGAAGCGCCGCGGAGGGATGCGCCTTAGCACCCGGGCAGGGATGCCAGCAGATACCGGATAACCGGGGAAAAGAGTGGTAAAGAGGTGAAAAGAGACGAGGAGAAGCGAAGGGAGGATACCTTGTGATCGTTTGAGATGCCTAGGAGAATGATTTGGTGGAAATGAAGGAGAACTATTTTATATCGGAAAGATACGTGGATGTGGAGGAGGGGAGATGATTGCGCGTGACGTCATCAGCGCGCGCCGGCACGTGGGTGGGGACGGGGATAAATGTTTAATGTGGGCTCGTGGTGGGGGTAGAGAGAGAGGGGATAGATAGGGAGAGGGGATAGAGGGGATAGGGAGAGAGGGGATAGAGAGAGAGAGAGAGGGGATAGAGAGAGAGAGGGGATAGGGAGAGAGTTGGGGGTAGGGAGAGAGGGGATAGAGGGGAGAGGGAGAGAGGGGATAGAGAGAGAGAGAGAGGGGATAGAGAGAGAGAGGGGATAGGGAGAGAGTTGGGGGTAGGGAGAGAGGGGATAGAGGGGAGAGGGAGAGAGGGGATAGAGGTAGATGGGGAGAGAGTTGGGGGATAGGGAGAGAGGGGATAGAGGGGATAGGGAGAGGGGATAGAGGTAGATAGGGAGAGAGTTGGGGGATAGGGAGAGAGGGGATAGAGGGGATGGGGAGAGGGGATAGGGAGAGAGTTGGGGGATAGGGAGAGAGGGGATAGAGGATAGAGGGGATGGGGAGAGGGGATAGAGAGAGAGAGTTGGGGGGATGGGGATAGAGGGGACAGGAAGAGAGTTAGGGGCTCGAGGGGATAGGGAGAGAGTTAGGGGATAGGGAGAGAGTTAGGAATAGAGGGGATCGGGAGAGCGGATATGGGAAGAGTTATGGGAAAAGGGTAGAGTGATGGGATAGGGGAAGAGCTTAGTGCAACGATTAGGGTTACAATTAGGGCTACATTCGAGGTAGGATTATAGGCCAAGGTTAGTTCCGGAGATGTTGGTGCAACCGTGGATCCAGGGACAGCAGCACTGCTCGCCCATCGATGCACAGTTGAAGATTTAAACGGCCGTTACTGGCCGTGTAGGGGGCTCGTGCCCCCCACAAATGGGCGGCATTGATCTAAGTTGTCATGGACGTTTTGATTTCCTTCTGTCTTTCACGCCAACTCCCACCAACCCCCAGTCAACCACCAAACATAAACATCCCTCTCGAACGATCACGAATATGCATTACCCCGCCTGTCCACCCAGGAAAGCCTGAGTCTCAAGACTTGATCAGGATGTCCCTGCCAAATGTTCCCATTCTGGAGCTATGCCGCGTCAGTGTTATTTCATTTGAGTTGTATGGAGATATTCTTCCAGCAAAGGGATGATTGACCAACACGAGTTACATTGTGGAGTTTAGTTATGGGAGGAAACCGGAGAATCCGGAGGAAACCTCTGCCGAACAAGGAGAGGACATTCAAACTCCACGTGGAGTTACGCCCCCGTCGAGAATCTAACACAAGAGTTCCTTGCTGTGTTACCACTGTGACCCGCATGGCGTTCATACGACAGGAGCCAGCTTCATATCGACACAATCACTGTCCACATTTACAGCAGAGCAATGTTATTGTGCTCATTGCAAGAGCTGGTCCATGGACCAGAGCAGCTATGAGGGTGCGTCTTTTAATCCGTTCGCTGCGTGTGACTTGATTTGTGTAACTTTGTGGTGGTGATGGTGGTGATGGTCGTGGTGATGGTGGTGATGGTGACCGGTGGTAGTGACCTCCCACCCCCTCGTGTGCCGTGGAGGTCTCCATCGGGTGCTCGCTAACAGCACTTGCCCCAACAGTTTAAGGCTACACGGGGTGTCGTTGTCTTGGCGATGTTTAGAATGTTTGGCATCTGCCAATTCGTCTTTGTTCTGGACACTTGCTACAATCAACACTGGACGCCGTTACCAAACGAGATGTTCCGTCTCAAGGGACTGTTTATGGGGGTGAAATTATTCAACAAAATAGACACATCATTTCCCTCCCCCAGACAATTCTGGGCCACAGCGCCGCCTGGCGGCAGCGAGGGGCTACGGCCGGGACCCCGTGCGACGTGGCAGGCCGAGAGGGGAGGAGAGGGAGGCGGGCAGCAGCAGCAGCAGCACCCCGGGGTCTCTGGTCGGTCCGCTTCTCTCGGACCCAGCTGAGTCTGCCATGGCCCACGAGGGCGCGGTCCGGGTGGCCGAGGACGCGGCAGACCAGGTGAGGGACCCCTGCGGGAGACGCCGGGGCACGGTGCGGGGCACGGGCCGAGCGAGACTTGTGGGGTTGGTGGGGGGAGGTGGGCCGGGATGGTGCCTGGCTGTGTCTCCTCTTGGATAACTCTCTCTCTCTCTCTCCCGGTGTCTCCATGTGTCTCGCTGTGTCTCACTGTCTCCTCTTGGCTAACTCTCTCTCTCTCGCTGTATCTCTCTGTGTCTCCCTGTCTCTCCCTGTGTCTCCCTGTCTCCCTGTTTCTCCCTGTTTCTCCCTGTCTCCATGTGTCTCACTGTGTCTCTGTCTGTCTCCCTGTGTCTCTGTCTGTCTCCCTGTGTCTCCCTGTGTCTCTGTCTGTCTCCCAGTGTCTCCCTGTCTCCCTGTGTCTCCCTGTGTCACCCTGTGTCTCTGTGTCTCCCTGTATCCCTGTATCTCACTGTCTCCCTGTGTCACTCTGTGTCTCCCTGTCTCACTGTGTCTCACTGTGTCTCACTGTCTCCCTGTGTCTCCCTGTGTCACCCTGTGTCTCTCTGTGTCTCCCTGTGTCTCCCTGTGTCTCCCTGTGCCTCACTGTCTCCCTGTGTCTCCCAGTGTCTATGTGTCTCCCTGTCTCCCTGCGTTTCCCTGTGTCTCTCAGTGTCTCTCTGTGTCCCCCTGTGTTTCCCTGTGTCTCTCTGTCTCTCCCAATGTCTCCCTGTATCTCCCTGTCTCTCTGTGTTTTCCTGTGTCTCCCTGTCTCTCTGTGTGTCCCTGTGTCTCCCTGTGTCTCACTGTCTCCCTGTGTCTCCCTGTGTCTCCCAGTGTCTCCCAGTGTCTCCCTGTGTCTCTGTGTCTCCCAGTGTCTTCCTGTGTGTCTCTGTGTCTCCCTGTCTCTCCCAGTGTCTCCCCGTCTCCCCCTGTCTCTCTGTGTTTCCCTGTGTCTCACTGTGTCTCACTGTCTCCCTGTGTCTCCCAGTGTCTCCCTGTGTCTCTGTGTCTCCCAGTGTCTCCCAGTGTCTCCCTGTGTGTCTCTGTGTCTCCCTGTCTCTCCCAGTGTCTCCCTGTCTCCCTCTGTCTCTCTGTGTTTCCCTGTGTCTCACTGTCTCCCTGTGTCTCCCAGTGTCTCCCTGTGTCTCTGTGTCTCCCAGTGTCTCCCTGTGTCTCCCAGTGTCTTCCTGTGTCTCTCTGTGTTTCCCTGTGTCTCCCTGTCTCTATGTGTTTCCCTGTGTCTCTCTCTGTCTCACTGTCTCCCAGTGTCTCCCAATGTCTCCCAGTGTCTCCCTGTGTCTCTGTGTCTCCCAGTGTCTCCCTGTGTGTCTCTGTGTCTCCCTGTCTCTCCCAGTGTCTCCCTGTGTCTCCCTGTCTCCCCCTGTCTCTCTGTGTTTCCCTGTGTCTCCCTGTGTCTCCCTGTGTCTCACTGTCTCCCTGTGTCTCCCAGTGTCTCCCTGTATCTCTGTGTCTCCCAGTGTCTCCCTGTGTCTCCCAGTGTCTTTCTGTGTGTCTCTGTGTCTCCCTGTGTCTCCCTGTCTCTCCCAGTGTCTCCCTGTGTCTCCCTGTCACCCCCTGTCTCTCTGTGTTTCCCTGTGTCTCCATGTGTGTCCCTGTCTCCCTGTCTCTCTGCGTGTCTCCTGTCCCACTGTACCGTGTCCTCTCAGCCGCTGTCCCCGCTGTACCCCGCCTGCATCTCCCTCGGCCCCTGCTCGGAGACCTTTTAGGGGGGTTGCGGTAAAACGGCGAGGGGATATCCGGACCCCCGTTGCCGTGACCCCCGTTGCTCTGACCCCCTCGTCAGGTCATCTGGTCTACACGTGCATGTCCAGCCCTGTTAATCCACTGCTGGATGAGGGGCGTGCAAGGGAGTTATTTCTCTATCCATGCTGAACGCTGCGTGTGGGAGCTCGGTGTAGGGTGTATGTAAGTTGAACTTCTTTCGCACCGTACGTAGCCAAGCGTACCCATCGGTGGTGTGGTGCATCGACTCGCAGTAAAACGACGCGTCTCGTCACATTGCCCTCTGCCCACCCGCCAGTCGTGGCCAGCCTCAACGCCTGCTTGGCTTCTGAGACCGGCGCGTCCCGGGTCACGGGCCGTGAGCGAACCCAGCAGACCCCCCCCCCGCCCCCATTTAGGGGGTTCGGTCCTGCGGGGTGGTCATTGACCTCCCCTGTGGGGTGCCCTGGTGAATGGCTCCCATCGGGGTCACGGCGGGGGGGGGGGGGGACACTTGTGGGATGCGAGTTTGTGATCATAGGACCCGAGGAACCAGACGATATTACCAAAGATGATGCTGGGATGATGATCGTGATGATCGTGATGATCGTGATGCTACTACGAATGATAATAATGTAGATGGTCATATTCGTGATGCTAGGATGATAATGATGATGATGCTTGGGTAATAATGATGATACTGATGATAATGACGATGATGCTGCTGATGATAATGATGAAATGTGGTCATGATGGTTATCATGTTGATGATTATGCTCATATAATTTATGATAATGATGAGGATAATTACGATATTGATTATTATGATGTTGAGATGATTATGATGATAATTATGCCGATTATGATGATGCTGATAATTATGATGATACTGGCACGATGAATGCAATGATAATAATGGTGACCATGAATAGATTGTAAACATCGTGGTGATCACGTTGGAATGATGAGGGTAATGATGGTGGTGGTGAGAATGTTGCGATGACCATGATAGTGGTGATGATGACCGTTCATGTCCGAGGTCCCTGCCACTAATGGGCTCGTGCACAGGGGGGTGTCGTGGTGCCTCTGGCTGGCGAGAAATCGGCGCCATCAGCAGCAGCCGGCGTCTAGCGCCGCTGGGGCGATTCATGAGGTCACCGAGGACGCCGAGAGCGACTTTGTAGAGCAGCGTTTCAGTGGTTGCAACTCGTCGATAATCCATTCACTTATACAACACCCCTTGCGTCTCTTAACACACCTGTGTCTGTAGAACATCTATGTCTCTCTAACTCATCTGTGTGTCTCTAACTCATCTGTGTCTCTCTGCAACACACGTGTATCGGTCTCTAAAACATCTCTCTGTCTCTAACTCAGCAATTCGTCTTCACGTCTCTCTGTAAGACATCTCCTGTGTCTCTAACTCATCTCTGCGCCTCTGTGTCTCTCTCTGCAACACATGCGTATCTCTGTCTCTCTATAACACATACGTCTATCTCTGTATCTCTCTCATTGTCGTTCAATTGGCTGAAATCGTGGTTGATTGCTGGAGACATCATGGATTGTGAACTAATGAGACGTAACAACCACGCATGCTCCGAACCGAACGGGGCGTCACTCGGGTTGCTCAGAGGCCATCCTCCTCGACGCGACAACTGTTTGCGTGCTCGCGACGATTGTCGCGATGACAACGTCACGTGACCTCGCCATTGGGAAGGCAGCAAAGCGAAAACGCGGACTCGGCCTGTTCCCTCTGTACGGGATGGAGCGTTCACCCCCCCCCCCCCCCCAGCACGCGCGGGGTTGGCCGATAACACCGTCTTATATAGAGGATCGCAGAGCTTGGATAATTGTTGGCACCGGCTCCTCACCGCCTGGGCTGCCTTCCCGCTCGTGCTGTGGTGGCTCCTCCTGGCGTCTCCGAGTCGTTCTCTCACCACAGCCCAGCCACGGTGGCGTCACCACTGCCTCAATCACCCTGGCAAGAGTTTGGCTAAGCGCCCATTTAACGGTTAATAGCGGATGAGTTACAAATTCTCTTTGTGATTTTGTGAAATAGATAAATATATTTACATCCTTTTTTGGGGAGGGGTGGAAACCCCCGCACTTCCTCCACACGTGCGTGCGGTCTACGGGGGGGGGGGGGGGGGGGTGACGTCATCACGCACGAGCCCGGTCCGGCGTGGTGGCGTGCGGGTGACGTCACAGTAGTGCCGAGTCCCCGTCACGGCGAGGGTGAATGCACGAGTGGAGTTTCAGGGCAACCGCGACCACGGTGGCAGGCGATAGAAGAGCGGCATGGGGGCGACTCTAGTGTCTGTGTGTGTGTGGTGGTCGGGGCTCTGTGTCGTTCGGGGCAGGTTTACGGGAATCGCGTGATGTTGTGTGAGGAGGCACGGCACAGCGTTAAACACGACAATCGGCGTCGGTGTGGACAATATAAATAACTAAATAGACTCGACTTCCCTGATCTGTCACTCCACATTCAGTACAAACGACTAGTACAGTATACTTTTTACCGCACGGCCTTCTGGGAGTGCCCAATTTCAGCAGTTAAATACAAGCAACCTCTGGACCGGTTTCGACACTCAAGTGTCTCATCAGCAGGTTTCCCGCAACCAATGCTGCAGTTGAACTGCCGGATGTGTAATGGCAGGGGCCCTGTCTCTGTTAGGCTTGGGTCCTGGTCGCCTCCTATTCCACAGACCTAAACCCGGACATCTTTCTCAGCCTGCAACCTTTGATACGGATCCTAGTCCGAGGTGGACATCAATCTCGAATCAACTTTGGGCCAACGTTGGCGTGTGGTTGGAACCATCGGGCCAGCATCCTCCAGCCCTCGCCCAATGCACGGGGCTGTCGAGTTCTGTTCGGATCAATGTTCTGTCCGGATCAATATTCTGTTCGGATCAATGTTCTGTTCGGATCAATCTTCCCTTCCGATTGCTCCGATCCGATCCGACCAATCGGCGTCTGCGGCTGAGCACGCGGAGCCGGCTGCGACCGGAGCACGTGGCTGGGCAGGGCGGCCGGGCCACGTCCACACGTGGACGTCGTCACGGCTCAAACCAACTGGGCCCGAGTGGGCGGGGGGGTTTCACAGACGTGCGGAATCCCAGGGAGTTCTAAACTTACAATAGCACGTGGAGGCCCAGTGTGAGAGGCGCGTCTGTGTACGTGTTTGTGCGAGTGGCAGTGTAGACCTCCTGTCAGCGAGCCTTCGACATTTCACGTGGCCTCAAAGTGCACCTGGCCTGGCACGGGCGCCGTGGTGACGTCACCCTCACTTAGTGGCGAATGGCGCGGGTATTGGTAGACAAAGGTAGGTCGACTCAGCCTCAAATGAGTACCTGGTGCGTTGTATAAACATCGGAACTGGGGAGAAAAAGGTGGTCAGGCGTGGTGTTACCCACCCACCCCGTCGTGTGCCGTATCGGCCTTCATAGGTGCGGGATAGCAGCACTTGCCCTGTTGGTGTGTGCGGGCTACACAGGGGATCTTTGTCCTTGACGTGTGCGAGTGGCAGGCATAGCGCTTGAGAGTGTTTACTTTGGAGGCAGATGGCTGGGAGTTCACATCCTGCCACGTGTTCTCCCACAGAGCCAGACTGTCAAAGCCTTGCACCTCGGAGAAGGGTCCATCTCCTCTCTCAGAGGGGACCTGTGCTTCTCCCAGCCGGGTTCTGCCTTTGCGGTGGGCGTGCAGGGCGGCTGCCCACAGCGGGAACGGTGCAAAATAATTAATGAAGAATGAGACGCAGAGAAACAGAGACACAGAGACTGATTCAGTGAGAAACGAATTCCACCACAACGAGGTTCCTTCTTGAGTAGACACCTTGGCCAGGCACCCTTGCTGCTGTCAACGCCATCGATTATTCACGAGGCGGCGCGGGCGGGGAGTCATGGCGATGATTGTCTTGCGTTGGCGGTGATCAATCCACTTCGGGATTCAGGCCTCCTCGAGCAATGTTCATCCCTCGCGATGCTGCTACGTAACAATCCACCTTGCCCCGCGCTGCAGCTGATCACGACCGCGGTGGGGTCCTCAGTTTACGGTGGTGGAACCCCCACGAGGGGCCTCGGCGGGAGGGGAAGCGGTTCACCTTTGGAAGGTCGCGAGTTCTAACTCCCGGTTGGCCTTTTGACTCGGCCTATCATCCCTCTATCCACGGTCGATAAAATTCAAATAAGTACTGCTTTGTGTGGAAGTCAACAGCGGTTGATGCGTTGACTCGCCCCCCCCCCCCTCCTGCCATGGGAACGTTGAATTTCTACCAATGGCTCAGTCGGAGCTGTAAACGGGAAATGAGCATCGCCATGACAGTGATTTGAGCTGAAAATCACCCTGCCCCCCCGCAAAACATGGAACATTGGGCCAAGCTTACGCACCTCTGATTAGCTACATACGGTGTGAAAGAAGTTCAACGTACATACAACCTCGGGCCAACGTCGACACAACGGCTGAACGTTGGGCCAACGTCGAGCAAACGTCGGGCCACCATCGGCCCAAAGGTTCCAACCACGACGGCAACGTTACCACGTTCACGGGAACCCGCACGTCGTCTCCCCCCCCCCGCCCCCCGTAGTTCCTGCGCGTGACCAAGCACTACCTGCCGCACGCGGCGCGCCTCTGCCTGGTGAGCACCTTCCTGGAGGACGGCGTGCGCATGTGGTTCCAGTGGTCGGAGCAGCGCGACTACATCGAGGGCAGCTGGGGCGGCGGCGCCGCGCTCGCCACAATCTTCGTGCTTGTCAACCTGCTCGGCCAGATTGGTACGGCCCCCCCCCCCACGTCCGGCATGCCCCCCCCCCCAACTGAGGTTTCACCGGGAGGCTGGGGTGTAGATAGAGGGGCTCAGGTTGCCCGGTGCTTGTCGGACGGCAATGGGCGCCGTTCAGGATGACAACCGGGTGAGGGCTGTCAAACGGTCAACCGGTCAACACAATTGGTTACCGGTTCTGAGAGTCAGGAACCGGAAGCCGGTTCAAGTGGGGTGTGAGTAGCGGACGCGGCGATTGGTACGCGCGGACGTACAAACCGCACGGTGCAGGCCTAAGTCACGGTGTGGTTCACGTGCCCCCCGTTCTCAGTTGGCAGGTGAAGGTGCCACTTGCTGAGGGATGGGCCTCCACTTGGTGCAGCTCCAGAGGGTATTTGGCCTCCTCTTCCACCATTTACCCTGCTGGGTGTGCAGAGGCAGTGGTGGGTGGGGGGAGGTGGCAGCTCTGTGTTTTTCTCGATCACTTGGATAATCGGAGATCCCAGCTCTAGTCTGGGTCGTTGCTATGGTTATGGCTCTTATGTGGATCGTTGCTATGGTTATGGCTCTCGTGCGGAGCGTTGCTATGGTTAGGCTGAGGGTTGATGTTGGCGTCACTTTTAGAGGTCGGCTTAAGGGCTAGCGTTTAGGGATTAGGGGTGAGGGGTGAGGGGTTTGTCTCCGGCCTCACCTTGTCCCTGCCGTGTCTCTGCAGGTGGCTGCCTCCTCATCCTGTGCCGCAAGTTTGTTCCCCACGCCTGCTGCGGCCTCTTCGTCATCATCGCTCTGCAGGTGAGCTCACCATCGTCGCCATCGTTGCTTTCATCGCCATCGTCGCCATCGTCGTCATCGCCGTCATCGTCATCGTCACCAGAGCTTATTCTGTCCGTGATCAGCGCGGCGCATCAGCGGTGGACTGGACTCGTCGCAGGAGGGCACAATAACAAACGTTTGGACGTACTCTCGAATGCCATGTGGAACAGAGGGAGGGAGAGTGCCGCTCTCTGCCAGCCGCTTCCTCATGGTCCACGTGTGTGCCCCCTCCCCCTCCCCCCCCCTCCATCACCTCCATCTCCTCGCAGACCGTGGCCTACAGCATCCTGTGGGACATCAAGTTCCTCATGAGGTGAGGGCGTTTGTGGGGGGCACGCGAACACCTGGGGGCCAGGAAACACGCCGGCCAGCGTCGTCGTCGCCAGCCACGTTCGGTCCACTGCTGGATGAAGGCCTGCTCCCCGGCACCGCGCGTCTCGCACGATGCTGAGAAGCGGCGGTCCAGGCGACGCCGACTCGGCCCTGAGCTGATGTCAACCGCTCCGTCTCCGCGAGGGCCATGCCCCAGGGGGGCGCATTCCGATTTTTCAATCGGCGGATCGACGCATCGTCGCTCGCCGAGATACCAGAAGCGCCCCCTCACACCGCCCCCCCCTCTTCCGCCGCCCCCCCCCCCCCCCCCACAGGAACCTGGCTCTGGGCGGGGGGCTGCTGCTACTGCTGGCCGAGTCGCGCTCCGAGGGGCGGTCGATGTTTGCGGGGGTCCCCAGCGCCGGGGGGACGTCCCCCCGCCACCTCCTGCAGCTGGGCGGGAGGCTGCTGCTGGTGCTCATGTTCATGACGCTGCTGCACCTGGAGGCCAGCGCGTTCTCCGTGAGTAGGGGCCGGGGGTGGGGACTCGCGGGATGCAGGGGGACTCTAGCGGAGGTGGGGTTACGGAGGGATGGATCTATTACATTAAACTATTTTTATTTTCCAGCTAAGGCTCACCGAGCTATATAGCGCTTTTTCATTTGGAAATGTATACCAGCCAAATACTATGGGAGGCTTATGGAGAGAGGGGACTTTGGGGGGCTGATAGAGAGAGGGGATGATATGGGTGGGGTGGGGCCCTGGGGGGTGGGGCCCTAATGAAGTCACAGGGGGCTGGTGGGGGGGGCTCAAGGGCTGAGGGGATCCCTAAGGTGGAGGTGGGGGTGACGGGGGCTTAATAGGTGTTCCTCGCTAACAGCACTTGCCCCGACCGTCCGAGGCTACACGGGGGATCTTTGCCTGCCGCCGTGCGTGTGGCCGCCAGGTGGTGCAGGACGTGGTGGGCACGGCCCTCATGTTGCTGGTGGCCGTGGGCTACAAGACGAAGCTGGCGGCGCTCACGCTGGTGCTGTGGCTCTCGGCGCTCAACGTCTACCTGAACGCGTTCTGGGCCGTGGCGGCCCACAAGCCCCTGCACGACTTCCTCAAGTACGACTTCTTCCAGACGCTGTCCGTCACCGGAGGCCTGCTGCTCGTCGTGGCGCTCGGCCCCGGGGGCGTCTCCGTCGACGAGAAGAAGAAGTGGTGACCGCCTCCGCCGTGCTGCACCGCCCGACCCCCGGCACGCCGACCTGCACCGGCCGCACCGACCGCTGCCCCTCCCCACCCCTCCCGACCACCCCCCGTGTGTGTGTCCGTCCGTATGTCCGTGTGTCTGTGTGTCTGTGTGCGTGAGCGTTCATCTCGGGCCACGTGGCGACATGACCGCTCAATTCAACCTTGCGTGCAAAAATCAATCAATCAATCAATCGTTAGCCACGTGAATCGCACGCGGGTCGACCGCCTATGTTACGTTTCTGGTAATGGGGAGGGGGGTGGGACGGATAAAACCGAATGAGCAAAACCCCCAAAAGAGAGACACAATACAAAGGGGATATCAAAACGGGCTGTGTTGTGACGCTTCACCAAATATAATTTCGGGGGGGAGGGGGGGTTTGTAGTGAACCGTGAGAGGCTGAGCAGTTACCAGTCACGTGTCCATGCAGTGCAAAGGGTGATGTGGCCAGTCACTGTCACGGATCGCACGCGGTGAAGGTAGCGCCTTCCCCCACCCTCCCCCCCCCCCCATTTGCGGAGTCTGTACCCCCTGCGGAGTCTGTACCGCCCGTGAAGTGCGTACTCCACGCGCCCCCCACGCGCCCCCCACGCGCCCCCCACGCGCCCCCCACGCGCCCCCCACGGAGTCCGTCATCCGCACGCCGCCACCACCGCTGCTGCTGCTGCCCGGGGATCGTGGCTGGCTGGGGGCGAGGCGGAGGTGGTGAGGGTCAGAGTTCACGGTGCAGTGACCCTGCGGTCCCACGCTCCCCGTCCCGGGCCCCGTCCACCTCCCTCCCCGCGCCTCCTGCCGCTCCTCTCGTGGGCACTTCGCTCTGAGCCCCCCACTCCGTCTAGGTCCCCCCCCCCCCACGCTCTGAGAGCGACGGTTCCGTGCGATCCACCCTCAAGGGCAGACGGCCTCCCAGCAACCAAAACGGTGCCCTACTTGGGCCCCCGGGGTGCCCAGTCCGTCCGTTTGTGGCCTCGGCATTCACGATTTGGTGCGCGGGTGGGGGCCCTGGACCCCTGGTCTTCTCGGGGGGCAAGGTTGAGGACGTGCACCGGGATGGGACGGCAGGAGGAGGGAGAGAGACGACGTCAGGCGGTGGTGAACGCTGCTTGCTCGGTGTGTGGTGTGGTGGGTTACAGTGTGGGTAGAGAGTGATGTGTGTGTTTGTGTCTGGTCCTGCGGGATGTGTACTGTCGAGTGTAGTATGTACATCGTATTGTTGTGTGTGTGGTGTGTATCTGTGTGTGTGTGTGGTGTGTGATGTGTATCTGTGGGTGTGTGTGGTGTGTGATGTGTATCTGTGGGTGTGTGTGGTGTGTGATGTGTATCTGTGTGTGTTGTGTGGTGTGTGATGTGTATCTGTGGGTGTGTGTGGTGTGTGATGTGTATCTGTGTGTATTCGAGTGTGTGTGATGGAGTGTGTGAGTATTTGCACCCGTGTGTGTATGTGTGGTGTGTGTGGTATGAGTCCGGCTTTATTTGTATTTGCGGTATGTGTATAAGAATATGCGGCATGTGTATGTATGAGGGTGCCTGTATGTGTGGTATGTGTGTGGTATGTGTGTAATTGAAAGTGCGTGGTGTGCGTGTGTTAGTGAGTGCTTGCGGCCTGTGTCTGTGTGCGTTACGGGGAGCTGTGGCACAATCGTTCGCGCGCCCGGTGACCCAAGTTTGATTCCCGCTCACGGCCAACACCGGTGACGAATATCTGAACCGGTCCTAGGCACCCCCTAGGTCGACTCAGCCTGAAATGAGTACCTGGTACGGTGTGTAAAATCAGCACTGGGGAGAGAAAGGCGGCCGGGCGTGGTGCTGGCTACACCACCCCCTTTTGTGCCGTGCCGCCCTTAATAGGTGCTCGCTAACATAACTTGCCCTAACAGCCTGTTAAAGGCTACACGGGGGATCTTTGTCTGTTACCACAACCGCTCACCGCCGCACGAGCGAGGGATGGAATCGAGGGATCGGTAAGGGGGAGGGGGGGGTCATCGCAAACATTCCGAGTGGGGTCCGAGGGTTTCTCGCTGGGCGGTTTCATTTTTATCAGCATCATCAGCATCGTTTACGACTGTCGCCGTTGTCGTTTTAAAGTGTATCGGTCAATAAACCCTCACGTTCACATCTCAACTCGGTGCGTGGGTGGATGCGTGAGTGCGTGGGTAAATGTGTGAGTGCATGAGTGGGTGAGTGGGTGATCGGGTGGGTGGGTTAGCGGATGAGTTGGTGAGCGGATGGGTGAGTGCATGAGTGAGTGTGTGAGCAGGTGGGTGAGTGCATGAGTGGGTGAGCGGGTGGGTGAGTGCATGAGTGAGTGAGCGGGTGGGTGAGTGCACGAGTGGATGAGTTGGTGAGCGGGTGGGTGAGTGCATGAGTGAGTGAGTGAGCGGGTGGGTGAGTGGATGAGTGAGTGAGCGGGTGGATGAGTGGATGAGTGCCTGAGCGGGCGGGGTGCTGCTATCTCCGCCACCTGCTGTTTATCCTTTCGCCGCCGTCACCGCTCGTGGCTCCGTGACCGACAGCTGCTGCCGGGCCCGAGACACGCGGAGGGGATTTACTGGGGTCCTGGGCGCGTGCCGGCAGGGACCCCCCTACCCCCTACGGTCCGGGTCCCCAAAACAGCCTTTGAGGAAGTTGAGAATTCTGGCGGTCCAGATGATCTCGTCTCAAGATGAACACGGATCGCAGGGTTCGTAATGATCGTGTCAGATTAATAATGGCTGTGTCGGAGGCATTAAACCAGCGTCGCTGAGATGCTCGGCCCAAGCCCCCGGAGCTGTGTCTCTCTCAGGGGTCCATACTGGCCGTGGTCGGTACACTGAGCCGGAGCTGCTGGGGAAGCAGAGGGAGGATTCGGGGGGAGCAGTGGGGAGAAGGGCTTTGTGGGGCAGCGTGGTCAGGAGAGGGCAGCAGAGAGGGGGGAGGAGGAGCAGGCAGAGTGGGACGCTGGAGGGAGGTCAGGCAAGGACGGGAGAGAGGGTGGACGGGATGAGGAGAGAAAGAATGGCGACACGGGGAAGAGAGCCGTCGTGTGGCGAGATAGCGAAGAGGGGAGACCAGGATGGGGGATAGGAGGTGCGAGCGCAGGATGGAGAGAAAGTGGAGGGAGGGGTGGGGGGGGGAGTAAGCGATTTGATGGGACAGGGCCTAAGAAAGTCCCGGGTCAAAACACCAGATGAGGTCACCACTGAGGTCCCCTCTGTAGCCCGGACGGGGAGAGCATGGGGGGAGGAGAGGGATGAGAGGGGGGAGGAGAGGGATGAGAGGGTGAGGGAGAGAGCGCAGGAAGGGAAGCTACACGAGGTGAGGTGAGAGATGTGGAGAGCGCGGATAGGATGGGGGACAGCAGGGAGGAGAGGAGACGAAACATGGAAGACAGTGAGAGCTGCAGACAAACGAGGGAGTAAGCAAGAGAAGACGCGCGAGACGAGGAGGAGGAGGTGAGAATGGAGAGATGCGGGCGGAGGGTGACGGGGGAGCTCGGGGAATGCGGGGGAGCGGAGGAGAGGTGATACGAGGTCAAGAATAGAGGAGGCGGTGGAGGAGAGTCCATGAGATGAGAGGAGATGGCTCTCGCACGAGCGAGGCACACCGCATTCTCCGCATTTTAAGACGCTCCTGAAAGTAAGACGCTCTCCAAACTCGTGCACAGTGTCAGTAAAGTCATGCGCACCTGGGAGCTCGCACACACACGAGACAAATACGAAGATCCCCGGACATTAAGCGCTGTCAGCGAGTAGCACCTATGAAGGCTGGCACGGCACACAAGGAGGTGGGTGCTTAACACCACGCCCGGCCGCCTTTGTTTCCCCAGTCCTGATGTTTTACACACCGCACCAGGTACTCATTTGAGACTGAATCGACCGGGACATTCGTCACTGGTGTTGGTGGTGTCCGTGAGTGGGGATCGAACCGAGGCCCTTGTTGTTGTGAGTCGCGAGTGTGATCACCACTGCGCCACCGCCCTGCCGCCCCAAGAGGACGACGACGAGGATGAGCGAGGAGGAGCAGGAGGAGCTGAGAGAGAACACGAGAGGAGAGTTCCCGAGTCCAGGACTCGCGGGGGAAGGCGCAGGCTATATTTAGCCAGCCAGCCCGAGCAGCAGCTGCTCCAGCCGCACCTGCCGGGCTGTCGGGGCCCCCCAGAGCCTCCCCCGCCTCCCTCGTCACAAGCCCTTGCCGAGCCCCTCTCAACAATGCCTCGCTGTGTCTCCTGGCCTCAACACAGCCGCCGCCTCCACAGCTGTCTCTCGTGAGGGGGGAGGCGGGGTGCAGGGGGGCATTTAAACTTTACGCTGCACGCTGCCGGGACATTTAACCGGAGTCTCGGAGAGCGTCAGCACCGGTCGAGGGGGTGCTATCACAGCGGACAGGGACCTTCGCTGGGTTCCCGCCGACGTGAGGACGCAGCGGAGCTCTGGAAGTTGGAGTCGTAGCGGGAAGCGGTACCCTACTGAGCGCTGGTGGCACGGTTCGATTCCAGATAGGGTCTACAAAATACCCCCCCCCCCAACTCCCATCACCTGGTCGCGGATTAGAGGAGTCGCGGATTAGAGGAGTCGTTCTGCGCGCTGTCGCCGTCGCAGGAGCCGACTGGGCAGTGCCGCGCCCGCCCCCACTGCTCTGGGGGTCTCTCTGAGGCCACCTGGAGACGTTTTGGGGGTGCGAGGACCTCGCTCACCTCCCGCAGTGGCTGCGCTCCCCGCCTCTGACCCCTAATCCATGAGCTCGGGGATGGCCTAAGGAGGGGGCGAGGGGGTGGGGGCATGGAGGAGGCCGTGGCTCGGCTGGCCGTGCCCAGCGCCAGCTGCCTGCTGCTGCTGGGCCCCGCGGCTCTCGCCGTGCGTCGCCGCTTCTACTGCGAGGGCCTCGTCTTCGCCTTCTCCTCCTTCTTCCTCGCGGTCAGTGGGGGGGGCCGGAAGGATTGAGGGACCCCCGAGGGATTGGGAGAGGTGTCGGGGGATATTAAGAATAAAACAATAATAATCGGGGCTTCATTTTCCACTCGGTATATTCCGGAATCCTGCTGCTAGGGTGGCTTGGGAGTTATGATTATCGGCGAAAGGCACTACAACTAGAGTATAAGGTTCGCGTATTTGTCATAATAATCCTACGTGTGTCGGTGGTATCAGTACAATCTCATCAAGAGGTTTACAACCAGACATTATTAGTCTGAGGTAGCGACGCCGAAGTGGTTCCCGGGAGCGCGTTCGTGACTCGAGTTGAGCGCCGATGCGAGGCGCCGGCGACCTCGCCCCGGGCGGGGGTGGAGTCGGCCAGGAGGGCCACGTGTTATCGCCGCCTGGTTGCTGCTCGCCAGGTTCGTTATGTGCAGAAGAGCTGACAAATCTGCCCGGCACACGATGGCGTCTGACTCATTTTCGAATAGCGTCTCGGGAACTTTAACGTTCGCCATGAAGAAAACGGCGTGCAGTCGCGTGTTTTATGGTTAACCCACCCGCAGTATTTACCAAGGCCGCCGCTGGCATTGAACCTCTGCAACAAGCGGCGAACGCGCTACCGCTGGGCCGCGTCGTGCTGCCAAAGTGATTCCCGTGGTGGCGTTTGCCGCCTGGTGGCCGCGTGTCTCGTGTGTTGGTGGTTGCCGCGTGGTGGTTGCCGCGTGGTGGTTGACGCGTGGTGGTTGACGCGTGGTGGTTGACGCGTGGTGGTCGTGGTGGTGCAGGGCTGGCACGCGTGCGACGGGCCCGACTCCCTCGCGTGGTGCGCGCTGCGCCCCGAGCTGCTGCTGTACTTCAGCGTCTACAGCGAGGCGCTCTCCCTGTGGCTCTCCATCCTGGGTACGGGGGCCACGGGGTGGGGGGCACGGCGGGAGGGGGGCACGGGGGGAGGGGGGCACGGGGGGGGGGGGGGGCTGGGGAGAACCGCATACCTTTTGGAACAAGCGGCCAACGCGATACCCCTGGTCAATGCCGGATTATCCGAGTAGCAAAAGTAGCTACTACATGTAGTAGCTACACATGTAGCAGCTGCACATGTAGTAGCTGCACATGTAGTAGCTGCACATGTAGTAGCTGCACATGTAGTAGCTGCACATGTAGTAGCTGCACATGTAGTAGCTGCACATGTAGTAGCTGCACATGTAGTAGCTGCACATGTAGTAGCTGCACATGTAGTAGCTGCACATGTAGTAGCTACACATGTAGTAGCTACACATGTAGTAGCTACGGGCCCCGCACTTTCAAGGGCCCCGCGCTAAATGCTTTCAAGATATCAATTCCGGTTCAGTGATTGTGCTCTTGCTCTATCACTATAGTACTCTACTGCCTTCAACTTTTATGAACGACTGGATGTTTAAGGTTAGCGATTTGTCGTCTTATCTGGCTGTATAGGAAATAAATATAAATACAATTACTTTACTGTGCAAGTTAAAAATTGGTGTTTTAATATTTGTGTTTTTTATTTAGGGCCCCTTTATAACAACATGCGACAGGCCCCGCACTAGCTTCACCTGGCACTGCCCCTAGTGCGTATCCTGCAAATACTACTCGGCATCACCACCTCCCTCCTCTCCCCCCCACCCCTAGCCGTGGGGGAGCTGGGGGAGCCGCGACGCTCGACGGCCGCGATGCTGGGGGCCCTCACCACGGCGATCCGCGTGGCGCAGGACCCCTACGGATACGGGGTCTACTCGGGGCCCATCGGAGGGGCCGTGCTCATCGTGGCCACCAAGTTTGTGAGCATTATCATCACCAGCAGCAGCAACAGCACCAGCAGCAACCTCGCACCTTCGATTAGCACGCTTGGCTACCTACGATGCGAAACACGTTTAGCATACAGACATACAGCAGAGCGTCATAACGCAATCATAATGACGATGATGAGGTCATGTGTAACGCTGCACCGCCACGGCACGGGTGTCACTCGCTCTAGCAGAGAGAGGGACGAGTCATGGTGGTTGAGATGATCGTGGTGATAATTGTTTTTTGACCCTTTTATTTGGCAACAAAACTGACACCTTTTTTTACAAGGAGTCATGTTTGCATTGACCACAATACTTGCGGTCGGAATGCAAACAAAAAACACAACTCTGATAATGTATGCACTGTCCTTGAAATTGATTGGTCCACACCCGAGACAGCTTTTCTTAGAGCTTAGTCTCACATGGTGTTGGACCAGATGACGCCAAAAGGCGCACAACTCAAAGACAATGCACCATCAGAGTATGAGAGCTCGGGGTAAGCATTTACACAATTGGAACCTCCTTTGCCAGAAGCAAAATATGATAATTGTTTCTTTACCCTTTTAAAAAAGGTGTCAGTTTTGTTGCCAGATAAAAGGGTAAAACAACAATTATCATATTTTGCTTCTGGCAAAGGAGATTCCAATGATGATCGTGGTGGTTGAGATGATAGTGGTGGTTGAGATGGTGGTGGTTGAGATGATGGTGGAGGTTGAGATGGTGGTGGTGGTTGAGATGATGGTGGTGGTTGAGATGGTGGTGGTGGTGGAGATGATGATGGTGGTGGAGATGATAGTGGTGGTTGAGATGATGGTGGTGGTGGAGATGATGATGGTAGTGGAGATGGTGGTGGTTGAGAGGATGGTGGTGGAGATGATGGTGGTGATGATGGTTGTGGAGCTGATGTTTGTGGAGTTGATGGTGGTGGTTGAGATGATGGGGGTGCTGATGATGGTGGTGGTGGAGATGATGGTGGTGGTTGAGATGATGGTGGAGATGATGGTGGCGGTGATGATGATGGTGGTTGAGATGCTGGTGGTGGTTGAGATGATGGTGGTGGTTGAGATGATGATGGTGGTGGAGATGATGGTGGTGGTTGAGATGATGGTGGTGGTTGAGATGATGGTGGTGGTTGAGATGATGGTGGTGGTGATGATGGTGGTGGAGATGATGGTGGTGATGATGGTGGTGGTTGAGATGATGGTGGTGGAGATGATGGTGGTGGTGGAGATGATGGTGGTGGTTGAGATGGTGGTGGTGGTTGAGATGATGGTTGTGGAGCTGATGGTGGTGGTGATGATGGTGTTGGTGGAGATGATGGTGGTGGTTGAGATGATGGTGGTGGAGATGATGGTGATGGAGATGATGGTGGTGGTGGAGATGATGGTGGTGGAGATGATGGTGGTGGTGGAGATGATGGTGGTGGAGATGATGGTGGTGGTGGAGATGATGGTGGTGGTGGAGATGATGGTGGTGGAGATGATGGTGGTGATGATGGTGGTGTTTGAGATGGTGGTGGTGGTTGAGATGATGGTGGTGGAGATGGTGGTGGTGGAGATGATGGTGGTGGTTGAGATGGTGGTGGTGGTTGAGATGATGGTTGTGGAGCTGATGGTGGTGGTGATGATGGTGGTGGTGATGATGGTGGTGGTTGAGATGATGGTGGTGGTTGACATGGTGGTGGTTGAGATGATGGTGGTGGTGGTTGAAATGGTGGTGGTGGAGATGATGGTGGTGGTTGAGATGATGGTGGTGGTGGAGATGGTGGTGGTGGTGGAGATGATGGTGGTGGTGGAGATGATGGTGGTGGTGGTGGAGATGATGGTGGTGGTGGAGATGGTGGTGATTGAGATGATGGTGGTGGTTGAGATGATGGTGGTGGTTGAGATGGTGGTGGTGGTTGAGATGATGGTTGTGGAGCTGATGGTGGTGGTTGAGATGATGATGGTGGTGGTTGCGATGATGGTGGTGGTTGAGATGATGGTGGTGGTGGTTGAAATGGTGGTGGTGGAGATGATGGTGGTGGTGGTGGAGATGATGGTGGTGGTTGAGATGATGGTGGTGGTTGAGATGGTGGTGGTGGAGATGATGGTGGTGGCTGAGATGGTGGTGGTGGAGATGATGATGGTGGTGGTTGCAATGATGGTGGTGGTTGAGATGGTGGTGGTGGTTCAGATGATGGTGGTGGTTGAGATGATGGTGGTGGTGGTTGAGATGGTGGTGGAGATGATGGTGGTGGTGGTGGTGGTGGAGATGATGGTGGTGGTTGAGATGGTCGTGGTGGAGATGGTGGTGGTTGAGATGGTGGTGGTGGTTGAGATGGTGGTGGTGGTGGAGATGGTGGTGGTGGAGATGATGGTGGTGGTTGAGAGGCTGGTGGTGGTGGAGATGATGATGGTGGTTGAGATGATAATGGTGGTTGAGATAATGATGGTAGTTGAGATGATGGTGGTGGTGGAGATGGTGGTGGTGGTTGAGATGCTGGTGGTGGTTGAGATGCTGGTGGTTGAGATGATGGTGGTTGAGATGATGGTGGTGGTTGAGATGGTGGTGGTGGAGATGATGGTGGTGGTTGAAATGGTGGTGGTGATGATGGTGGTTGACATGGTGGTGGTGTAGATGATGGTGGTGGTGGAGATGATGGTGGTGGAGATGCAGGTGGCGGAGGAGATGATGGTGGTGGTTGAGATGATGGTGGTGGTTGAAATTATGGTGGTGGAGATGATGGTGGTGGTTGAGAGGGGGTCCTGCGATCCCCGTAACACCCCCACCTGCACCCCCCCACCCCCCGGCACCACCCCGCCCTCCCTGTCTCAGCTCCGCAAGATGCGGCAGGTGAAGGGGCTGTACCCGGAGAGGCGTAGCTACCTCCACCACATCGGGCCGGGCTGCTGCGCGGCAGGGCTCGCCTTCACGCTCAGGTTCTTCGTGCAGGTGCGGGTACAGGCGGAGAGCGTGGTGGGAGACGTGGTGGGGGACATGGTGGGGGACATGGTGGGGTGCAGGTGGGAGACGTGGTGGGGGACATGGTGGGGGACATGGTGGGGTGCAGGTGGGAGACGTGGTGGGGGACATGGTGGGGTGCAGGTAGGGGACGTGGTGGGGGACATGGTGGGGGTACAGGTGGTGGACAAGGGTGAGTGGGGGTGGAGGTGGTGGATGTGGTGGTGGCGGCGGTGGACAACGGTGAGTGGTGGACGTGGTGGTGGTGGGGATGAAGGTGATAGACAAGGATGAGTGGGGGTGGAGGTGGTGGACAAGGGTGAGTGGTGGACGTGGTGGTGATGGGGATGAAGGTGATAGACAAGGACGAGTGGGGGTGGTGAACTTGGTGGTAGTAGGGGTGGATGTGGCGGTAGTGATGGTGTAGGACAAGGGTGGTAAGACTCAGAGATTTACTTTCACCAGACAAGGACTTGAGCTTGCATGGAACTTTTGACATGTTCCACTAGATCACGGTGACCATACTAATAATATGGAGAGATGATGGTGATGGTGATGGTACTGATTGTGATGATAGTGGAGGTAGTTATGGGTCGTGGTGGAGGTGGTGGCGCGTCTATAGCACTGGCAGTGGTGGTGGAAGTTGGTACGAGAGTTGGTGGTGTATGTATGTTGAACGTCTTTCGCACCGTATGTAGCCAAACTTGTTAATCGGAAGTGGGGGAAGGTGGTGGCACGAGTAATGGCACGGGTGGTTACAGATGATTACAGATTCGTATCTGACCCTGTCCCCCCCCTCCATGCCCCCCTGCAGGACATAGAGTACACGTACGTGCACAGCGCCTACCACGTTCTCCTGGCGCTCGCCTTCTCTTTCCTGCTGCCCTCTTCCAACCCGTATGGCCTGCCCCCTCACAACTGCTGCTGCCCGGTGGCCTGCGGGTCAGGCCCGGCCGCCTTGCCGCCGTTGCCCGCGTTGCCCCGCGGCCTGGTTGCTCGCCTCCGCTCACTGGACCCTGACCCCGACCCCGGCCCCGACCCGGACCGGGACCGGGACCCGAACCCTTCCCCGTGCCGACACGCGGGGTTCCCTGCCGCCGCGAGGAGCGGACTCCCAGAAGCGCCGCGGCGGGTGCTGCCCCCTTTCCCGGCCACGCTGCCCCGGGGCCTGCGCCCCGTCTCGCTGCCCCGGGGCTTGCGCCCCGTCTCGCTGCCCCGGGGCTTGCGCCCCGTCTCGCTGCCCCAGGGGGAGGGCAGTGGCGAGGAGACGTAGCCCGGACCTGGGATCGAACCTACACTCCCCGGGAGTCTAGTGTCGTGGGGTTTTCGAACTCGTGGTCATCTGCTGCCCGCGCCCCCCCCCCCTGCGCCCAGGCACTGCGGCGAGTGACACGACTCCCCGTTTCTGTGTTCATCGCAAAGTCTCTGTTGTGTTTTTTATTGTAAGATCGGTCGTGATTGTAAATGCACAGTGATTAGAATTCAGTCGGACCAGTCTGGAACGCTGCTCCAGGAATAATTTTGGCCACGTCGCATCCATCTCCCCTTAATTTGTCCTAAACCTGCTTATAGGGTTACGATAAACTCAGCTCTGATCATGGAGTATCGGGCACAATGATATAAGATTATTGTGCCTTGGTATTCCGTGTACTCTAGATCCCAATGGAGCAATAGAGCATTGGGATATACGGATGAAATGCGCCTTACAAATGTAAAGTATCATTATTATGACTCTAGTGGTAGTGCCTTACGCCAGTAATCCATATTCCAAGCCAGCTCTGACGTTATGGCCGTGCGGCTACTCGCGAGCTGCCGAGTCCGTCGTACTTTCAGGTCGCGCCGCTACGCGTTGTTGTTCGGAACGATGTCCGATGTTTCGCTCCACGTGCTGGGGGCTTCTTAAGGAGCTGAACTCAGGGGATCACATTCTCCCTCGATGACAGAGCACTACCGGCATCAGGTCAAGAGATGAAGCGTCCGTGAAGAACTCGTGAGAATGGCGCTAGAAGCTGGTGAGGAACGGGAGGTGGCCCGCCACTGGGATAATCACGAGCACCGGGACACGCGGAGACGAGAAGCCGCTGTGTCGAGAAGGGTCTCACGCACACTGGAAACCTGGAACTCAGAACTTGAGACCTGGAACTTGTAATTGGAACTTGAAACTTGGGACCTCGAACCTGTGACCTCCGACTGAGCCTTTGAAGTCTGGGCTCTGGAACCCGGGCCCTGGAAGAGGCACGAGAAGACCTGGACCGAGAGGCGAGTTGTGGTCGGCAGAGGGCGCCATGGCGTCGCGTGTGAGGTCCACGACCGGTCTCTGTGGTGGCGGCATTGACGGCGGTGCTGAGCTGGTTTTGGTGGTGGGTGCGCCAGTGGTGGTGGTGGTGGTATTGTTGATCGGCGGTTGTTTTATTCATTGATGAGGATTGATAATGACGATAATGATCTGGACACGTGGTGGTCCATCGGTAGTCATTCCGGATTTCTCTGGAATCCTCACAGAGCATCCAATCAGAAGGGGACACGAATCAGCATTGGATATTCATGCCGCTCCAGCCATGCAGCAAGAATCTCGAGGTGCCACCTCAATGTCTTGATCAAGGACATCTTCAGACATCCTGAGCATTGGAACCTGTAACAAAGAGAGAGACATTGGCGCCTGGCATTAAGGGGGTATGATTGGAACTTACTCTTGAGACCTGTTACCTCAGACTGAGACTTTAAAGCTGGGATTGTGAGCCGGGGTTATAGAACTGGCGCGAGGAGATCTGGGAGTGAGAGTTCGGAAGTACCTCGGCAGACCCGGGAGCTGGAACCCAAATATTGGGCCTTGGAACCTGCGACTGAGACATGGAGCCCCTGATGAGGATCTGCGAGTCGGACTGAGAATTGCAACTCTGCATCTGAAACCTTTAGACTGTTAACTCGGCATCTGGAACCTTGAGACTTGTAAATGGGACTCGGCACCTGGTAACCTCGAAGCTGGGAGCTGGGACGAGACGGCAAGCGGCAGCTGCTGGAGCTGATGCGACGAGGCCCCCGAGAGGGAGCGCCCCGGCTCGGACGCCAGAGAGCGCGGAGCTGGGGGCGCCTGAGGTTGATGACAGCGGCGGTGTTGGCGATCTTGAGAGTCCGTGGCAGTAGTTGGTGGCACTGGTTGATGGTTGAGTTTTCGTTCCCTTATTAAATCGAGTGTCGTTAATAAAACAAGCACATGCCGAGGCTTGAGTCATTGCATGGAGTCTTCTCTGCCTGGCTCTGCGTGACCCCGATTCATATTCTCACGTATGTTGAACTTCTTTCGCACCGTACATAACCAACCGTGCTAATCCGAGGTGCGGGGGAAAGACGACAAACCTGACCCCTCACGCTGACCCTTGACCTCAACTCGGATTGCCACCTGTCCAGGTCTGAGCAGGACGAGTCCGGTAACCGGCATCGCGATTGCGATTCCGTGGCATCAGGAGTTGGTTCGTCGTGAGCTCTTGCTGTGTTGGTCTGCTGTATTGATGTACTGCTGCTCCTGCTGCTCCTGCTGTACTGCTGCAGGAGGCTGAGGCACAGCTGTGATGAGAGGCCGCGCGCTGCCTGGGGAACGTGCACGCGTGAGGGTTTGGTCTCTCCAGTGGACAAGGTGGGCGAGCCGAACCTCCTCAACCTGACCAGAACCTTTACCCTCGCCCTATCCCTGACCCTGATAATAACCCTACCCTGATACATGATCATAACCTTGATCCTAAAACTAAAGTCGACCCTAATCCCAACCCCCTACCCTGATCCTAACCATAAACTTCACCTGATTTATGCTCCTACCCAACCCTATCTCTGACTGACCCCTAACCCATTTGCTGCTGCTGCTGCTGCCGAGGCAACACGAGGAAGTGGGAGGAGGAGGAGAGAAGAAGGGAGCCATGGAGGCGAGTCCCGTGACCCCAGGCCAGCTGGCTCGGCCCTGGGCGGACACGGAACTTCGCTCTTGCCTGTGGAATGCCGCCGCGCGCGTGCCTGAGGATGTTGACATAAAAAATGAGTATCTGGTACGGTGCAGAAAACATCAGCATCGGGGAGATAAATGCGGCCGGGCGTGCTGCTGGCCACCCACCCCCTTGTGTCGGACTTCGTAGGTGATCGCTAACAGCACTTGCCCCAACAGTCTGTTAAGACTACACGGTGGATCTTTGTCTTTGTGCGAGTCACGCTGTGTGAATGCTGCATGGCCTGTCACTCCACATGCCCCCTTCATTCTCTGTGCTTGCGAACGTGGAGCCCTTTAAATGAACATGCGCTGCGGTTTGAAACATTTAAGCTGGCCTGCCTAGGATTCATCGTGGATTTAACCAGTCTGCATTGTGATGAAGTCGCAGATTCATAAATGATCTGGACACAGTTCCTTCAGCGAGCTCCACCGGCTGGCAGCCACCACATGCCCAAGCAGCATCTATTTGACCGGATAGAGAGGGCTCGAGAAGAGATGGGTTGATATAGAACAGGAGGACCTGGAGCTGAGTGGACTTGTCAGCGGTGTCGGGATCGGTCTCTGTGGAGGAGGCTCGTGAAGGACGCTGCTGAGCAGTTGAGGGCAGTCGCCCTCCAACAACAACGGAGGGCAGAGAAACGATGCTCACAACAACGAGCGGGGAGCCGGGCGACCGAACGCAGAAAGTTTGCACGGTGAGGAGCACAGGTGGTGTCTCTGCCGGTCATCTCAGTCAATCTTTAGCACCTGGGTCTGTCCCGGTATCTTCTGCACCTATCCTGGCACAGCAGTCGACATATGGCCCTTGGATCTGTCCCGTGACTTTCCAGCAGCGAGCTTTGGATACTTCACTTGGCCTCAACGTGCACCGAGCTTGGCTCAAGCGCCACTTAGTGGTAAATGGGAGCCGTTGTTGACGTGTTCAGCAATATTCAGCCAAGTAGAGATTGTAACGGCTGCATAATTGAACGGAGGTTAATGCCAACTTGGTAAACTATGAGAGCCTTGCCCCGGTGGGTTCCGATAAGAACGCCGTAGTGTAGTGGGAATCATCAGCCACCTACTCACGCAAAGCGAGTGGACGGGTCGCGAGATGAAGGGGCGATGGTGCCAGGAATGGAACGAGATCAGAGAGATGCGACGATGATGAAATCGGCTGGGTGGATCCCAACTTCGCAGGATCCGTGAGAGATGGTGACGGCTTGTAGAGGCCTTCATCCAGCAGTGGATTGATCATGGCTGATGGCACTGTTAATGGCAGCGGCGGCGAGGCTGTGACGGGCAACCTTCCTGCTCGCCCCGGTGGTCCGCAAGAGACATTCACATAACTTTGGTAACCATCTACTACTATGTCATGTTGGTGATGCTGTATATTGAAATGGGTCGCATCGTTACCATCAGTCATCCTTTTGACATACTAAAGGATGTTGTCGGCTGTTGACACACTGAAGGAAGCCTCGTGTTTTATCGGCATCGTCTTGTGGATACAGCGCGATGAGAGATGGTTTTATTGCAATACCGATAGCAAAGTGGACTTCGCCAGTGCTGCATTACAAGCAATGTACCTACATCAACAACAAAAACCCCCATCTTCAAAACGAAAGTTTGTTATTTTTAGGAGGATGCGACCTGGCCAAGAGAGCGGACAGCACCGCGAGATGTTCGTGTCGTTAGGCTGCTCCTCTTGCTCCTCAGGAGCGCAGTCTTCTCGCTCGAGACCCCCTATTGACAGGCGGCAGCTGCATGGCGGAATGTTTCAGAAGCTGTACTGGAATCGTCGTACTGCTTGCTGCGTGCTTTTATCACAATCACTGTCGTGATGGAGTGTGGAACGCTTGCTTCTTACATCAGCTCGTGACATGTCAATTCCCATCGTCACGTGCATCGTCATACTATTATGGGTGCCGAGAAAGATGTTTATCATCACCATATCAACGTGGATGTATTGGATAGCTTGTCATCATCATAGCAGTACCACTCTGGTGGGTAGAGGAGCCGTGGTGGTGGCGGCTCTGGACGTGGCCTGTAATCCAGCACTGGAGGCGAGGGTTGATGGATCGCCGCACAAAATGGAGACTCCATCTGTTCCATCTGTACGGGATAGCATTTCCCCCCTGGCAGGCGTGGCTTCTCTGGGTGCTCTCGTTTCCTTCCACGTGTAAACATTCATTATGTGGCCGGTAGCACCTTGAGTTTAGTTGAATAAATGTTTGGCCCAGCTGGCCAGGATTGGGTAAAACATTGCCCACATTTCACCCAGGCAACTGGAGTGGACAGACGAAGTGTTACTGATCTACATGTGTCTAGACAGTGCACAGACGCAGTGTCACTGACCTACATGAGTCTAGACAGTGCACAGACAAAGTGTCACTGACCTACACGTGTCTAGACAGAGCACAGACGAAGTGTCACTGACCTACACGTGTCTAGACAGAGCACAGACGAAGTGTCACTGACCTACACGTGTCTAGACAGAGCACAGACGCAGTGTCACTGACCTACAAGTGTCTAGACAGAGCACAGACGCAGTGTCACTGACCTACACGTGTCTAGACAGAGCACAGACGCAGTGTCACTGACCTACATGAGTCTAGACAGTGCACAGACGAAGTGTCACTGACCTACACGTGTCTAGACAGTGCACAGACGAAGTGTCACTGACCTACATGTGTCTAGACAGTGCACAGACGAAGTGTCACTGACCTACACGTGTCTAGACAGTGCACAGACGAAGTGTCACTGACCTACATGAGTCTAGACAGTGCACAGACGAAGTGTCACTGACCTACACGTGTCTAGACAGTGCACAGACGAAGTGTCACTGACCTACACGTGTCTAGACAGAGCACAGACGAAGTGTCACTGACCTACACGTGTCTAGACAGTGCACAGACGAAGTGTCACTGACCTACATGAGTCTAGACAGTGCACAGACGAAGTGTCACTGACCTACATGTGTCTAGACAATGCACAGACGCAGTGTCACTGACCTACATGTGTCTAGACAGTGCACAGACGAAGTGTCACTGACCTACATGAGTCTAGACAGTGCACAGACGAAGTGTCACTGACCTACATGAGTCTAGACAGTGCACAGACGAAGTGTCACTGACCTACATGTGTCTAGACAATGCACAGACGCAGTGTCACTGACCTACATGTGTCTAGACAGTGCACAGACGAAGTGTCACTGACCTACATGTGTCTAGACAATGCACAGACGAAGTGTCACTGACCTACATGTGTCTAGACAGTGCACAGACGAAGTGTCACTGACCTACATGTGTCTAGACAATGCACAGACGCAGTGTCACTGACCTACACGTGTCTAGACAGAGCACAGACGAAGTGTCACTGATCTACAAGTGTCTAGACCAGGGGTCCTCAAACTTTTTAAACAGGGGGCCAGTTCACTGTCCCTCAGACCGTTGGAGGGCCGGACTATAGTTAAAAAAAACTATGAACAAATTCCTATGCACACTGCATATATCTTATTTTGAAGTGAAGAAACAAAACGGGAACAAATACAATATTTAAAATGAAGAACAAGTAAAGTTAAATCAACAAACTTTCCAGTATTTCAATGGGAACTATGGGCCTGCTTTTGGCTAATGAGATGGTCAATGTCCGGTTCCATATTTGTCACTGCTAGTCGTAACAAGTGATGCAAGATGTGTATCCGTTAGTCTAGATCTGGTTGGAGATTTCAAATGTTTCATTCTGGTACAAGTCTGTTCACAGACATAAGTGCTGCCAAAGATGGTTGCCATTTTGAGTGCATGGTTCCTGCGATGAGGATATGTCTCAGAGGGGAGAGATGCATAGAAATTATGAAGGCTGCTTGACTTGAAAGCGTCTTTCAGAGAGTCACAATTTTGCAGTTCAGCCAGTTCCATTTGGTAAATTGTATCCACATTTTCAATGTCAAAGAAAATGGGTTACGGAAAAGCTGTATGTCCTGTTCATGGAGATGAAGCTCTTTAAATCTAAATTGGAACTCCTTTTGCAATTTTTCCAATAAATCCACACATGTTTTGTTTGGGAATGCAACCA